ATCAAAGTCAGCAGTAAATAAATCAGTGTTATTGGTGAACATTTATTTATTTCTCTATTGGATCATGTTATTTAAGGCATGGCAATTATGTTTGAAAAGTAATATCGCCTAAATGTCTGCTAAATCTGAGAGAAAAAGAAACAAATCATTAGACGATTAAACTTAATTCATATTTAAAATCGGTTCAAGTTATTGGAACACCCTTTATTAGGCAGAAAAACGGTCAAAATAGTGAAATGACTCGATGAGTGTCTAACTACCACGCAAAAACTTACGTTTCTACAATACTGGCCTTCTTGAATGATGTGCTTTCGTCATGAAATATGTTTGATTTCTTACCCTTTGAGCCTTGCATTCCTGAACAATTTTAACCCTTCTGTCTGAGCTCCTAAGTCAAAATTCAGAAATAATTGGTATGTAATGTTTCATGGTAGATACAAAAAATAGTTACAAGTGTTTACCCACCGTTCAACCGGTAGCTGGGAATTACGTCATTTTTCTCTACCATTGTTCAACAAATGGCTGGGAATTACGTAATTTTTCTCTACCATTGTTCAACCAATGGCTGGGAATTACGTAATTTTTCTCTACCATTGTTCAACCAATGGCTGGGAATTACGTCATTTTCCTCTACCATTGTTCAACCAATGGCTGGGAATTACGTCATTTTTCTCTACCATTGTTCAACCAATGGCTGGGAATTACGTCATTTTCCTCTACCATTGTTCAACCAATGGCTGGGAATTACGTCATTTTTCTCTACAAGCGGTAAAGCGGCGGTTAGTGCTCAAAGGGTAATTTTACCACCTTTTTTTCTACATATTCTTTTGTAATTCCAGATGCAAGGCCCCAGATGAACCTTTTTTTCACCACTGCCCCCCCGAATCGTCCTGAAAAAACAAAAAAAAAAAGCTTTAATCTAATTTAATTTTAAATTATCTCGAAATCAAAATGTTTGTGTTTTTCATTTAACTTAACTTTGATTAGCCTTTATACTTGTTAATAGCGAAATAAAATCCTTATTAAATTGTTTAGAAAATAAATTTAAAAATTCAAAATGTGGGTGAGGCAGAAATACCTCCCACATTTACACTGTCACATGTGTATTGCTAGTGAACTTAGGTAAATGACAATAGGGTCTTCATCTAGCTAATATCTTACCATTTTTATTTTAAATGCACCAGTTACCATCATGGCTTGGATCGGTGCACAACGTGAGAAAGAGTTTTTCGCGTTTATTTTATGTTACTTTAGAATGATGCTCTCTCGAACAGAAAATCGGTACTCTTAGGGGCTGAAGAATTCAAGGCCACAAGTTCGGTGCTTTAAAGAAATGCACTTGAAAGACTTCGAAGCGCTCAAACTTCCCGTTGATGGAAAGCTTTATAAATCGTCTACTGTTATGATGTTGATTTGGGGTTAGTAGAGACAAACGCCAAATAACACGTAACAATAAAAAGGGTTTTAATAGGTTGGTAAATAGGTAGAGAAATCGCCTGAGTAGTCAATAACTAGCTCAGCTAAGAACTTCCCTGTCTTTTGACATGCCACTATTTAAAGTCTTTGTTCGCAGACAAGTTCATCTTCAAGAGGGGTGGTAGGTTTCCGACACAACATCTACAAAAGTGTATCGAGAACAGAAGACACCATTTGAATAATGTCATTTTTAAAACCATATGAATAAAACTATCGCCCTTTGTTTAAACAACATTGAAATAATTTCCTTAATAGCAGTTACCTTGGTCTTTTTGTCAACCTTTAAGATATAGGAAGTATTTCTGCCGCACCCTTTATTAACGTTTTAAAAATGAAAAACAAAAAAAAATTGTTAAATTTTGCTAAAACTATATTAAAAAACACACAACTAATTATATTTAATTCTTTTTAAATAATTTGGAAATGGTTTTATTAATTCATTTCTATTACAAACGTATCATTTATCATACATAAATTATTGTGATCTGTGAAAACATTTGGGTAAACATGGACTTTCGTGCTCACAAAGAAAAAAAAAAGAGGGACAGTTTTTCTAATGACACCGCTATTATTTTAACTACCGTCACTCCCTCGGCAATGTTTGTTTTATAAAGCGATGATTAGAATTGTAATAAAACGTAAAAATGATGATAGTAAATTTATATATATATATATATATATATATATATATATATATATATATATTTATTTCTTTTTGAGAATTGATAATAAATATATTAAATGCTATTTATTTATTAGATTTTAAAGGCTTAAAAACCCTTTGCAGGTTATTTAAAGCTAAGTCTTTTTAGATTGTAAAAATGTTTTGACAATAATAAGGATTTATTGATAGAAGCCCTACTAATTAATCCAAGAATTAGGTAAAAGAGGTGGATTCATACCTGTCTCCAATGGTATATGCGCGTAATTGAATATAACGACGCAGACTGGAATTGGAACACGGTTCTCCGATTTCCAAATCTGAGCCGTTATCCATTACACCTCCTGCACATGCAAACTTACAAGACCTGGTATTCCCTAAAAGTCCCATATCTAGCTACTGACTAAGCTTGACGTTGCTTAACTTCGGTAATCGTACGAGAACCGGTGTTTCAACCTGATATGGGCGGAAGGGCTTTTCTACCATCCATATACCCAAGTATACAGCTCTTGGTATTCAGAAGCGGTCACCATCTAGGTAGTGACCAGGCCTGGTGTTGCTTATCTTCGGTGTTTCAGCGTGAATATAGCGAGAAGCTCTATTATACTACCCGTATATTCAAACTTACAGCTCCTGTTATTCAGAAGCAGTTACCCATCTAGATACTGACCAGATTTGACGTTGCTTAACTTCGGTAATCTGTGTTTCCACGTGGTATGGCCGGAGGCTCTTTTCTACCACCCATATGTCCGAGTTTACAGCACATGGTATCCAGAAGCGGTCACCTGTCTAGGTACTGACCAGACTCGACCGGCGAAACCTTGCTTAACTTCGGTAATCGTACGAGAATCGGTGTTTCAGCATTATTTGTTCAGAGCCTCTTTTATACCACCCTTATACCCGAACTTACAGCACCTGGTACTTGGAAGCGTCACCCATCTGGGTACTGAACAGGTTTAACGTTACTCAACTTCAGTAATCGTAAGACAACCAGTGTTTTAACTTGATATGGCCGGAAATCCTTTTCTACCACCCGTCTATCCAGGCTTACAGCACCTGGTATTCAGAAACGGTCACCCATTTAGGTACTGACCAGGCTTGGCATTGCTTATCTTCGGTGTTTCAGTGTGATGTAGCCAGAAGCCCTTTCATACCACCCATATATCTAGGCTTACAGCTCCTGTTATCCGGAAGCAGTTACCCATGTAGGTACTGACCAGACTTGACGTTGCTTTACTTTGGTAACGTGATATGGCCGGAAGCTCTTTTCTACCACCTGTATATCCAAGTTTACAGCACATGTTATTTAGAAGCGGTCACCCATCTAGTTACTGACCATGCTCGACGTTGCTTAATTTCGGTAATCGTACGAGAACCAGTGTTTCCACGTGATGCCATTGTAAGCCAATAAGTAATTAAAAGAAAAAAGAAAGTAAATATTATGGATACGAATAACTTTGAGGAAAGATGAAATGACCACCTGGAAAATTGGCATAATTTTGTGATTCAGTTTTAGAATGAACGATATACGACTTTTGACAGTTTAAACCATTTCACAGAATTTCTTTTGGTCATTAGAAATCCATTTTCTGCAGACAATTTTTGGCTTAGGTATCGCGGATCGTGTATTCTTTGTTTTGTTTTCCACTCAAATGATTCCAATATATTATGATGGGCTTCATTTGGTCTGATTCCGTTTCAGATCAAGATAATAATTATTCAGGATTGATTTACCAATAAAAGAAACCACTTTTATCTTTTTTTTTTATTCTAATCATAAAAAAAAAGTTTTCAACATATTTTCAACAATTCTATCTGCAAGTAAATTTTGTGAGCATCAGTTTAGATTAGCTTCCCGTAAGAATCAAATGAGACGACATTCTAATAATTGGATCTGATTTCTTCAATTTTTTTTTTATTGATTGGTCATTTGTAAATTTCGTTCAAAGAAGCAGAAAAATTATTTGAGTGATTTCGAAAAATCTTCCGCTTAAATAAATCAAAGAAATGATGGACTATACAGTAGAACGTATCGAGGAAATTAGTCTAGTGTGATGCAAAGCCGAACAAAGGTTAAGTGCATACACACACACACATTGATTCATATGTCCGCACATTTTAACACATAGCTATAAACGCACACAGACACCAACGAGAGAGAATACCAGTTTCGCCACGAAATCAAAACTTGTGGGCTGAAAAGGTTTAAAACTTGACGTACGTTTGCAGAATTAATTAAAGGAAATCAACTTCTGAAATCATTCTCCTTTTTTATTGTCTGATATGAATAAGTATATATATCTATGTGAAAGGCTATTCAACTACGTCTTTCGCTCCTTATAGTAGGCGTCTTAGGGTTGGGATCAGAACCAAACAGGCAAACCTGTGTATGTTTAAATGTGTCGAAATATGAGGAAGAGATAATAAAAATCTGATGTGGTCCCAAAGTTGGGACCACGGAAGGAAAACACGGAACACGGATTAGAGGTCAGAAAGATATATTAAACAAAAAGGTTACAAAGATAGTGTAAGTGCAAGCGGAGCTTACTATGTGCTAGTGTCCAATATTGGTAGTCGTACGCGGCTGATACTACGGTATTAGAATACTCCCTCTCTCTCTCTTTCCTCCTCTTCTCCTAGAGTATTATATCGCATACTTTATATAGTCCTGGAAGAGTCCATGTTGTAGGTATGTTATGGTCTCAACAAAATCCTTATCAGATGCTGCAGTCAGAGAGTAAGTTTTGTACTGAAACGGTTAACGTCTTCTGTATTTGTTGTGGTAGGATCCACCTAATTTGCATAGTGGAGTACCGTCCATATAAATATGATTGGTACCGGGAAGAGAGGGTAGAATCAAGAGATTCAATCCAGAGACTCTGCCAACTGCGACTAAGTCAACACATTCTCCAGGAACGGTCTTACCAGGAATATACAAAAGACTATATGTAAATATTGTGTACACTTTCTTGTTTCAATACATTTTGTTCTAAGTACATTTTGTGTTGCATTATTATTCCATGCATTAGTCAAATTTCAACAGTATTTGAAATTTAAACTACTGATTTTTTCTGTATTAGTTTGTATGCTGTATTGTGCTTCTAATATTTTTGCGATACGCATTGATATTGTATATGAGCCTGATATAAGGTTGACCATAGAGAATTGTGGGATCAGTAAATTTTCAATAGATCCTCTTAGTAAATCTTTTTTCTTTTAATCAGACTGACATATTTTAGATTGAAATTGTTGTCAAATGTGTTACGGTGAACGACTTGTACGTTTGAAGCTTTTGTTATGCAAAAATCCCTTCGATGCTCATATAGTAATTTTTTTAAAATCTGGATCTTTCGCCGATGTATATCATTGGGTGTTTTATGAAATTTGCTTTGTATATTGCTGGTTCTGTATGTGTTTCTACACAAGGATGCTAAGCATAACATGGTGCGAGATTGTGAGCAAAAATGAGATCTTAGAGAGGATGCAAACACGGAGGAGGCTTATACTTAACATCAGGAAGAGGCAGCTGAAGTTTCTGGGACACATAATGAGGAAGGAAGGCCTAGAGAATCTGATACTCACAGGCCGAATAGAAGGAAAGAAGCAGAGGGAAGGAACTTGTTAAGAGCTACAAGGGATAAAAGGAGGTAAAGAGCCTTAATCGTCAACGTCCTGAAAGGAAATGGCACATAAAAAGAAAGAAAGTCTATTTATTTTAGTTTAAATCCTTTCAAGTCCGAAAATTAATTTCTTTGTGGGTGTAAAAATTTCTTAAATGTTTGTAGCAGAAACGTGTTATATAAAAAATAATAAATTAAAATACTAAAATTAAAAAAATCTTTTAAAAATTCACATAAGTTACCTCCCTTGCATAAAGATTATAGAACACCTATGGACGATTATGGGTATGCCCCCATTCCCATGAATACAGTAGGGAATATTGTATGTTGGTCGACCGTTGGAATTTACTGTGGAATTCACTTGACTCACTTCTAGCAGTTGACTACTTCTTCTATGCCCCACTGGCGAATCTTATATGTGTTGTTCTTGTCCTAGGTATTATCGTTCATTACCAACCTTCGTGAGGTTATTCTATTCAGTAACCTTCCTAGGTTACAACAGAGGTAAAAAAATGTTTTGAATTTTCGGTGTTAACGCATAACACATCCATAGATATGCAACCACTGAAGATGAGGCTGAATTTACTTGGGAAAATAAAAATGATTTGAAAGAAAATTTTGGAATTTTTCTTAATTAATTTTCCACAGCCACCAAGAAATTAATTCGTGTACTTGAAATGTATATATATATATATATATATATATATATGTATGTATGTGTGTGTGGGGGGATGTGTGTGTATTATTCTATGTACCTTTCGTTACTGTACTAAGAACATCAATTATTATTAAAGTAGTCTTAATGTAGCATATTTGTTCGATTCGATAACAAAATTATAGCAAAACTTTCGCAATACTTATCAAAGACCTACTTATATTTTATGGTGTTTTGCTCGTTAGAATCAAGAAAAGAAATAATAAATACTTCGCTCAATATTTCTTCTGCACTCGTATTGACAAAATTCTCCAGCACTTGACATTCGATAAATTAAGTGATAATACTAATTATTATCATTATTATTATTATTATTATTATTATTATTGTTGTTGTAGAACGTGACTGCTTTTTTAATTGCCTATCGTTTAATCATTCAGCTGACACTTGTGCTGTAAGAGATTAGTTTGTCAAGGAATTTGAATGCAAATCGAATACAAAGCCTGTTTTGAAGATTGCTGAGGTCATATGGCACCAGTGATGTTCGAAAAACGTCAGCATTAGTTTCAAATCAAATTAAAGTAATCTATATTCTTTTCTTCTGGAAGGTAATTACACACACACGTATATATATATATATATATATATATATATATATATATATATATATATATATATATATATATATATATGTAGTAAAAGACATCGCTTATGGACTCTGATCCAAATCGTAATTGAGTTTTATGACATGTCGATGATATGTTGTCTCGTGATCGCCATGGTGTGAAACTTAGAGTTACTATTTGAATTAGATTCCAAGAGTGACGTCTTTTAGTGCTACTTTCTCAACTTTTCTTAGGTACTGAGTAATGATTTTATTGTGTATGTAGCCGTATGTCCTTTTCTCTATCGTCTTTCGTTGTCCTTTTTTAGTCTTCTTCTTTGGCAGGTTTACTAGTGGTACAGTTGTTCGCTGACGTTTTACAGATAGTTTGATTTATTTTGGTTCTACACACACACACACACACACATATATATATATATATATATATATATATATATATATACAGGGTGTCTCAAAAAATGTACTCACACTTTGAATGACGAGAAAACCTTTATTTATGAACATAGAGTGAAATGGAATAGCTTCGAATACAGAAGAAAAATGTAATTGAAGAATCAATGTCGCAAATGT